GCCCACAAGGTTGGTACAGGGTGAGCATCGGTGACACCACGCATGACTTCTCGAGCAACCCAGACTTGGTGCGGATTGAGTAGTAATGCACATGATAGGTTCTATTTGGGCTGTCTATCCATCAATCAATCTAGCCAGCTAGTGGGAAGCAAAGTGATTACTGTGTCCATGCGAGATCAACTGGCGAGACAGCCCGAGTCTCGAAGGCGGCATCCCCAAACTAGCCAGTCGTTACTCGCTAGCTAGCTTAAGTCCGAAGATTATCTCGCATGTTGGGTGCATACTGTATGGTTACAGGAGCCTGCAAGCAGGGAACGCTTTTCTAAGGCTAGCAATTGCTAAAAACACAGTTCCGTTCCGTTTTCAGGCATCAGCGACGAAAGAGACCATTAAAGCCTCTCGAATATGCCCAGCCCGGTCGTCACCTCACCAAGTTCCAAGCAAAGACGGGTCCAGGTCATACCGCTACAAAGCAGGATTATTGGGCGGGAGACTTGTCCTCGAAAGGCTGCTGCAGCAGCTGGCTGCAGCAACATCATCCTCGCAGGTCGGTCGATTGCCTCTTTCCCAGGCAGGCATCCAATCAATCACCTTTGTGGCTGGCCACCCCGCAACGAGCAATGACTAGGGCACACTGGGTTGCTGGCTGGTGGATGATTGATAACCAATAGGCCAACATGCATCCAAGCCACTTTAGAAGACCGAGCTAACTAGCTCGTTGCATCACCACATACTGCCTAGGACCGGTACGACCTACTAGCTAGTATCAGACTGGTACCTTCGTCCTGTACACCTTGCAATCACCATCCGTACGAGTCGATCGTCAAAGCCAGTGACTCCCAATCGGTTCTTGGTGATCACCGATGACTGTGGCATGCTTGGTACAGTCAGTGGAGGTGCACGGAAAGCTCTGGGATGCTTGGCACAAGGCACAAGTACCACATCATCTTGTGTTCCCACTGTTCCCAGGCGACATGTCGTAGCTCTACTCGTGGGTTGGCAAGAATGTATGTTGGCAATTGGCAACCAACATCCAGAGCTCAACTAGTAAGACCACATACTACAGCAATCCAAGCAGTCGTCACGTGTCGGTGTTCGCCTTCGTTCAGATTGATAAATGATACCAGACTTTGTGCTCGGCAAAAGGGTTTTCTTTCGAAGTCTGCTTCGGATATGCCTTTTACAAGGTCATTGCTTCTCTAAAGAACAGCAATTGACATTTGTGTAAGTAGTTCCTCCTAACGCCATCTTGAGCATCGATGACTCTATTCGTGCAATGATAAATGCATGGCACTCCCCTACTTTCTGCTCCTAATGACCGGTACATAGCACACGCTGGACATCAGACATCATACAGTGCCCCGTTGATAAGTCAAAACCTGTTCGTTCCCCTCTAATCATGCCTGGAGAACATAGTGAGATGGTGTCATTGGCATAGTTCATAGGGATTTCACCGAGAAAGATGACTGGAAGATGCACAAAACAATAAGCAGTCACTTGAAGGATGAATGCCCGAACAGCGCTTAGTTAGCATACGACCTGATGCCGTTTTGGAAAGCAGAATCAGTTACCACCACTGGCACTCTGGCACTTCAGTGTCGGATGCCGGTGGTTGTGCTTTTTGGTTGCAAGGTTAATACCTGATGAAGCTACATACAGTACTCGATTATGGGTCGCCGGTTCCACTACCCAGCGAAAGGAGCAACACCTCGCAACGACTGAAGATCGCTCAGCTGCGAGAGTTGGGTGTGACAGTGGTCAGAAACGGTTAACCAAAAGTGATTCAATCGTACTGTTACACTATGTGGTGTACCAGCCTTCGCCTTTCTGTTAGTCCCGTCATGTGGGAATCGGCCAATTATTAATTTTGAATACCACTTGAAAACTTTGTCCTCAGGGGCGTTGCGGCTGCACCAAGAGTTCTGCAAGGTTAGTACCGAGATGGCAGCATGTACCAGCAAGCTACACCAGTCTTTTATCCAGAACGACGAAATTGATCCAATAAGCTTCATGCAAGGGTCAGCACGTTCGTTTTACTTAACACGCAGGAACTCCGCATTGGGGTACTAACAGTCCTTCTGTACTCTGGTACTGGGGAACGATCCAACCACCAGATGCTAAGTGGAGGGCCCGGTGTACAGTATTTTGATCATCATTGCTTCTTCGCTTCTTCTGTTCCTCTGACTTCTGACACGAAAACGTTACCGTACTTTCAAGAGCCTCAGTCGATTGGCTGGAGATTACCGGTACCATCACTACTAACGAATTATCTGCCACAGCTGGCTCGTTCACCTTCCTCTCTCACTCGACTGACTTGAGACTTACTTGGGTAGCTTCACACAAATATTGAAATTATCGATAATTGGCATCCCACAACAACACACACAACCCAGCAAACCAATGATGCAAAAAAGAGGAAGACGGAGCTCTTTGCGCATGATGTCGATCGATCAACAGCAACAACAACAACAGCAAGAGCAACATGAAGCTAGAATAGTAAGGAATATCGCTCACGCCGTGGAAGAATATGCGGCTGGCCTGACACGAGACGCCAAATTCCTGAACCAAACCGAGATTGAGAGCTCGGTGGCGGTGTTCCACTCGAGTGAGATTGTACTGGGCAAACTCCTGGGAAAAGGAGGCTTTAGTCAAGTCTATGAGGCAAGTACGTTTAATCTGATGCAAACACAGCCATCTGCCGCTGCCTCGGAGATGAACCTAGCAAGACGTATTGTGGAGAGTACCGCCGTCGATTATCGCGGACAGGCAACGTATGCCCTCAAGCACCTTGACAAGAAACTCTTGCAGAACCCCGATGAGTTTTGTGCGGCAGCCGCCGACTTGTATGTGGAAGCCAAGTACATGAGCCGGTTCAATCACCCCAATATCCTCAAGCTAAGGGGGATGGCAAACGGGGGAACGGCCGCCTTTCAAGAAGGACGCTACAACAGCTTCTTTATCCTCACGGATCGACTATCCGATACCCTTGACAGTCGCATCGAGAGATGGAGCCGTCAGGGACAAAACCGACAAGACAGCATCGTCGTCAAGTCGAAGTATGCCCTTCAAGTGGCCAGTGCCCTCGAGTACCTGCACGAAAGACGGATTGTGTTTCGTGACGTCAAACCGATGAACATTGGGTTCAAGACGGATGACACGGTCCAGCTATTTGACTTTGGTCTGTGCCGAGAACTGCCCGATCCCATCTCGTATGATGTCGAGGAAACCTTCAAGATGAGCAACGCCGGTACCAAGCGGTACATGGCACCCGAGATTTACATTAATTCGTGCTACAATCTCAAGGTCGACTGCTACTCCTGGGCAGCGGTCTTTTACGAGATGCTCAGCTTGGAGAAACCCTACTCTCGAATCTCCGATATCGAGTTCCAAACACTCGTGTTGGGACAAGGACTGAGGCCCAAGATTTCCCATCTGAGGCTACCCCAGAGTGTGGATCTCCTGATCCAACAAGCTTGGACACAGCATGCTACCCAACGCCCCAGTACCAAGGCTATCCGAATCACTCTCGAACAGATCATTAGCCGATGGGAACAAGAACAAGAAATGCAACAGCAGCAGCAAGCTATGGCGATGCATGTGGCGGCTCCTGTACAAAATTCTGCCGCTATGATCACCACCCCCACTACTGCTACGATTGCAGAACCACAACGCCCACCCGCCTTTTTCCGATCGGTTTCTACCCCCATGTACGACAGTGACACAATGATGGCACCACGCCCTGCCTCCAACCCCATGTTTGCCGCCGGCAGTGGAAGCGGCAGCGATACCAACATGACAGCATGGCATGATCCACAGTTGCACCAAGTACCATTACCCCCCTCGCCGACTCATTTGTTTACATTTGACCAGGATTTGGCAGCGTTTAACCAACAACAGCAAACCATTCTCAAAAAGAAGAATTCGACTGCATCTGCCGATGCTACCCTTACTACAGAGAACTCAACGGCTTGCTGGGATCAAGATCTCAGTATTTGTACCTTTGACTACTCGTTATCTTCTCTCATGGAGCTGGAGAAAGATCAAGCATTGGCTAGCAGCAAGAGAACATCCTTCTTGGAGGTTGGTGCCTTTGGTTTCGATACCCCCAAAAACTAGCTACCAGAGATACCACCACCACCACTAGAACAAACAAACAAACAACAAAACCTACTATCATAGAGCAGACGACTAAAGTCTGAGTTTCCAGCATAACTCATAACCAAGCTAAATTACCTTACCAAGCAACACAACCTAGCTAGCCATAGCACCCAGCATCCTTCAGGTCCAACTTACCAGTCTACAAGCTATCAAGGCCTTCCGAGTTCTTGGCGTGAACAATCCTTCGCTCTTGCTTGCTCATCATCCATGTGCAATCATCACCTCTACTAGCTTTGGAGGGTAGCAAATCGTGACCAAAGACCATCTAGCTAGTAGTACCAGTAGATAGAAACCCACCCTTGCTTCCTACCTACCTATCTAGCTAGAGGGCCAACGCCACGGAGATGATGGGCCGTAGCTTGTAGCTGTCTTATTCTGCTGGGTTGACTGATGACAACCTAGCCAACACGAAGGAGAAGACGGGCCCTTATGGCTATCTTGCTCTGCTGGGTTGCTACGACTGGCCACGAGTCGCCACTGTGTACCACAACATGGCACAACACGGAACAAAAAAGTTTCATGGTCGCGATGACTGGCACATGACAGCATCTTCTTGGGATTTGGTGATTACCGACTGCGTCTCTATTTCTTATTGTCAGTTTTGCTGGAACTTGCTCGGACGCTTGTTCCCTGGACTTCTTTCGTCTATTCAATAAAATATTAGGGTCTAGGTTTATCCCCTTCCCTATAATGCGGTGGAACGGCAACACAACGCAACGTTGCAACAGTCTTCGACCGGACGAAGGACGGGCGTTATTCCCTGGCATCGCCAACAAGCGGGTTTCACCTGAAACTTCCACGCTCCATGCAATCGAAAGTCCACAAAAAGGGAAAGCACCACAACAAAGCTAACAAAACGAAAAGAATGGAAGCGCACAATGGCATCATCCGAAGTAAGCCCACCATGAGAAGCTCCTCGCACTCCAGGTGGTGCAGTTGTGCCCAAAATGTTCGACACGATTCACCAGTTCTCAGACAACCCCATCTTTTACGACGCCCTTCTGAAGGTCTAGTGGAAGATTGAACACGGTTTCCTCGGTGGCAACTATGATATCGTCGACTTGAGTGATAAGCACAAGGAATTCCTTCTCAACCTGCATGGCCGACTTGACTACGAGTCCTTCTACTCCGGTGCTACTAGTGAGCGTGATATCCAGGATTTGCAAGTAACGTATGGGTTTGCCAACCACCGTGGGATCTCCTTCAACCAAGACCTTATCACGTCTTGCAAAACCTCCTGGTACGAAAGGGAAGGGTTCCGCAATGTTGAGGCTGCACTGAAAACATTGCAAGGGTTGTCGTTCTCCGGGGTGATTCAAGAAACTTTTGAGCATGAACTGGCTCATCGAAAGATCCACGCTGATTTCCTCGAGCACAATGGACTCATCAACACACCAGGAGACCATCCTCTGCAATACGAATCCGGTTTTGCGGTTCAGAGAAAGATTCGAGAGGACCACTCCAAACGGCAAGTGGAGAACGTGGGCTCGCAAGGGCAAGTTACGGACGCCATCTCGAACACTGCACCGGTAGAACCAGTGCGTGTCTTGGAAATACCAATGGATGTTCAAAGACTCCGCTACGCACCTCCTCTGCACTTGCAGTGGGGCTCTTTCGCTCTCGACGATGAAGGTGAACTTTCATCTGTCATCACCCCGGGTAACGACCCTGTTACTTTTGAGCAGTTGGTGGAGCATCTAAAATATGGCGGCATTGACGATCCGACTCGCGGATTCATACCAGAAGTACCGGCACCCCTAAAGAGAGAACGGGACGGGGAAGATAGCGAAGACGGTGGCGGGAAACGTCAAGCAGGGTCACGCGCAAGGTCGAGCGTGACATCATCTGCTTCTGTAACGAAGGCAGAGGCGGAAATCAAGAATCTTGGCCCGCATCACGTAGTTGCCGAGGCCGCACCTTCGGACCCGGAAAGAACGATGCAAGAACTCTATGAGTCCATGATGGAGGAAGGCAAGCGGAAGTTGTTCGAAACGAAATAGTTTGCAATTATTGATGCAAGATTCCTCGACATGGATGGAGAATGCCGCAATCGCTTTTCCTCCAGTGAATCAATCTTTGTTTCCTTAAAATTCTCGAACCCTACCGAGAATGACATTTACGTAAAGCTTGCCAGAAACAACTTTGCGCATGGGGGGATCAGAACAAACATCGAACGTGCCCGAGAGCGTGTGTGCCGTACAAATCGATGTTCCATGGTGGCCGTCAAGATTGCTCCTGGGAAAAGCCACACACATACTCCTCGCAAGCTTTGTGACGGGCCAGAACCCGCGGTCAAAACAATTGCTCAAGATCTCAACTTTGGAATGGTTCCCTTTTGGACACCAACCAAATCGGGCACGTATCAAGTGAGGTTTTCCGCGTATACAAAGCGCTTTTCTTTCGTCATCGGTGAGGATGGCGATGAAGATGTGTGCTCGAGGCACGAAGTAGAGCAATGCGCGTGCAAGGCGGATTACGTGTAGACTTGATCGAATGGGCGTCACGCCTCTTTTCCTCGGTAGCAAACCGCGGAGAGGAGCTACTATTGTAACATACAAAAGAGTTTGCTGTGCCATGTGCCGTGCCTTGCTAGCTACTAGCTATGCATAGTTGACACAGCCATAGACGCCGTACGTTAAGAAAATCCAAAAGTACAGTCGCAGCCTTGAAAGGCGGACAGAACTAGTCCAATGTTCCGACTTGCCAAACCCCGCCAACGCCCTCCGTCTCAAACATCAGCCATCCAAATCCCCTCCCAGGCATCGAGTCAAGCCCATCGAAACAAGGGCCCACAGGCCAATTCATTCGGGTATTGATTGCCGCCAGAAAGCAATACTACTAGTAGTAGAAAGGTGAGGCAATGATGGGCCAAAGTTCTACGAATCATTGAGTCGTACATGTATCTTTGGAACAAGAGACTGAAATCTTGTGGCTGTTCCGTGACGTTCTGTTGTACCCGTACCGGTAAGTTGTACGGTACCGACCCTTCTGTAAATCGTACATCCGTACATGGACCGTCTTATTTGTACATTATTATTTGTACTCACGTACGGTAAGTTGCATGAGTGACAGGTCAATTTTTAAAAGACCTTTTGCAGCTCTTTTGCCTTGACGATGAGATTCGAATGTTCCTGTATCCATTGACAAACTGGCTCGGTGTTGTTGTTGTTTACTCTCCACTCTCCACTGGTACCATGCATACTAGTACCGGCTGGGGTAACACAGGATGCTCTTCAATAAACAGAGCCCTCCATTGCCCCACCAAACACCTAGCTAGAACCTGACATATGTAATCACGACTTCCTACCGCACCAAATGTGCCTATGGTTCGAGTTTCATCTCTGCATGCAATCTAGAGTGCTATCTCAAACTGGAGCACTGTCGTGTTTTGCGGTTCCAACCCTTGTGTGGATCGCCTAAGGGTATTCTAGTTAGCTGTCATTGATCAGGGTATCACCACCCTGTGCAGGTGCAACGGCATCTGTCTCCAACTACATGTAGATTTGGGTCGAGAAATCTCTTTTCCGCACTGAACCAACTTCTCAGCTCCTTACGAACCAACCAACAGTGTAGTGTAGGCACAACTTCTACTTCGAAGGCAGCGGGGTGAGAAGCTCCGCCCTATTCTTGCCTCTTATAAGGCCCGCATTTGACGGGCAAACTAAAAGCAGTCAATACCAGCCAGGCAGAAAAGTTACCAATTGACACCTGATTTTGAGGCGTGTTAGCGTACGAGTACGGTACCAATTGTATCAACTCTGTGTGATCTACATGTATAATAAATCTGTGATGGGACAGACATAGCACTGGCTGAGTACTTCAGCCCTACAAGTAGCTCTACCGCTACAGGTAGCTTGTAACAAAACAAAATCTGAGTGTCCCATCAACCTCAAGAGCAACCACCGCTCTGCAAGCGTAGGCTCGGCAGAAATAGTACTGGCTAAGTGCTTCAGCCCTACCGGTATAGGTAGCTTGTAGCAAAGTCTGAGTGTCCTGTCTAACTCAAGCAAATCCGAGCAACGCAACCGCTGATCTGGTGGACTTTCTCATCATCAAGGGATGCATGGAGTGGTACAGTTCGAACAATGCTAGGATCCGTGGGAGTCACCTAGTCACAATGGCGACCTTCTAAAAAAGAGATAGGAAGCAGGGTTCACCCATCATGTTGCATGCTGCTTTCGCAAGGCTACACGGAAGACAGCTTTGCATGGGTAGTAAAGGTAAATATGGTGTTTAATATAAGTATTACTTTACTAATAATACCGCATCTACCTCCATGTGTGAGCTTTATTCTGGATCTTGGTCACTCCTTCCCAAACTTGCTCTTGCCTTTGTTCTTCGTGCACACATCATGCCAAAAGACACAAGAGAGTGAGAGTGAGAGAGAGCGGAGAGCAACCTTGACGACCCATTTCTTCATTATCTACCGTATTGCAGAACCTGCGCATCCTCCTCCGATCTATAGTACCTGTATAGAAATGGCTCGATCTCACGCACAGCAAGTCGCCTTGGCACTGGGCCCCAAGTTCTCTGCGAGCTTATCAATTCTGGGCTCCAGTTGGATCATACTGGAAGTTCTCCGAGATCGCAAGAAGCTGGGTCTGGTGTACCATCGTCTCCTGTTAGGTATAAGTTGCCTTGACGTCCTCATCTCTAGTGCATGGTTTCTCAGCACATGGCCGGTTCCTTCTTCTGTCGAGGGGCTCTACGGCAATGTTGGCAACGAGGCTTCCTGTATCGCCCAAGGGTTCTTTATCCAGCTCAAGGCGGGCAATACCTTCTATAATGCATGGTTGGCGCTCTACTTTGTCCTGGTTGTCAGATTCGGCTGGACGGAGCGTCGACTACAGCAAATTGAACCTTGGTTGCATGCAGTAGCCATTTCCATGGCCGTCGGAACATCTACCGCCAGTGCGGCATTGGGTCTCTTTGGCAACGCCAACTTGTGGTGCTGGATTGAAGGGGCTTATCCTCTCCACCGCTTGCTCTTCTTTTATATCTGGTACTGGGCATCGCTCGTGGTTGTCACCATATCCATGCTCGCAGTGGTTTGGACTGTGAGAGTCAACGAACGAGCATCACTCCGTTATTCTGCCAACAAGCGGACACAAAACTCCAAAAAGGTTGCCACACAAGCTGTACTCTACATTGGTGGATACTACTTGACCGCTCTCTTCTCCACCACCGTCCGAGTTTGGCAGGCCTTTTCGACGAACATTCCATTTTGGGCCGTCCTTGGAATGACAATTTTCTATCCGGCGCAGGGCCTCATTAATTTCTTCATTTACATTCGACCGCGCTACGTTCGATACCGCCAGCGACATCCCGAGTGGAGCTTGTGGTCTACTCTCCGTGTGACCTTGCTTCGGGCAATTCGAGGTGCCGCCGTGGACTACAGCTTGAGAAGAAGTTCCACGGCTCAAACCGTCACGGAAGATGACGACTTTAAGCTTGGCACTCCTCTGGAAGCGGATGACAACCGCCTGCGGTTGGCCGCGGGCACCAGAATCGATGGCCCTGACGACCTAGAAGAGGGACAAGGCAGCTTTGACGATGAGAACCAAAGGAGTGACGACGAGGAGGACCAAGAAGGAGACGACGATGGCATGGAAGTTGTTGATGTGGTGGACGTACCTTCATTGCCAAACCAAGGGGAAGGAAGCAGTGGGGAAATCAGCTAATTCTGATGTGAGAGAGGTATCATTGCTGTCTTTTCCTGTATGTTAATACCAATCCAATTCCATGGGGGCTCGGGCAAACGGTTCATCTTGCATTTTTTAAAGATTCTATAGTACATATCTCTGCAATTCTTATTCCTCACATCCACCTCGGCCGTCTGCACGTACATGTACAGTAGATGATTGGAAGGTTATATTGTGCCTGTACATGTATCTGTGGCATCTCTAGCTAGAGCGGCTGTAGCTTTGCAACGCAGCTTTGGGAGTTTCAAAATAATGATGTTACCACACCACAGTGTATCAGTTCTTCACCGACCCAGAACTTTCTAGCAAGGACCCAAGAACTGCACTGATGAGCAGTCTGGCCAGGGTAGATTGGGTGGGCTCCTCTCTGGATAGAGTAGCTAGCTAGCTAGATAGAGTAGCTTGCTTGTCAGACTCTCCCGCCCTACGGTACCGGAGCTATCGTACGGTTCTGACACGGCCGAGCTTGGATTGTAGTCTACTGTACTGTATTTTACACGTACAGTATGGGGCAAGTGAGAGTCCTCTTGTCCGGTTTGCCATGACAAGCTTACAACAAAATCTCGCACTGTCCCCGCTGAATACTTTACTGCTCTCCAAAATGCAGGCATCATCCTGCTCCCCTTCACAGTGGACCCATTTCTTGGACTGGGACCCTTCGCCCATGCCCTTCTCTACGGCTCCGCTCGCCAACCATTCCCCCTCCCAGCACCCCCGTGGTCTGCCAAACTCCCCACCCACTCCCAACGCTCCTACAGCCAACTCCTTTCAGCCCCAACCGCCATTCTCCCCACTGCTGATACCCACTTTGTCACCCCCACCAACTACTCCATTGACACCCAACCCTACACACCTTCACGCTGGGCACACCAATCCCTTGCCCTCAATCTATCTACCCACTTAGCACAACACTTGCAACGCGCTATTACACGCCAAGCTCGATCCCTCTATTCCTCCGGCTCATCCCCGTCCTCAGTCCTTGCCGGTCCATATATGCCTACTTCACGCCCAGAACCCCTCGATCCCTTCCCATACTTTTTACAAGCGGACGTTACCTAGTACCGTTCCTTTCACGTAATCCCCTTTATAGTTATTTATTAATTATTTATTTATTTACCTCCCACCATGGCACCACGGCCAACGCTCTCACAAACAGTTCAAAGAAGAGGAAGAGAGGGAAGAAGGTGGCTCTACATGGTTTCATCTTGAGACTATCAGCTGCTTCCAACCATCCTACCGATACGAGTATTGTTGGTTTGGGGGTTTTATCTGTGTCTTGTTCAACACAATTCCGAAAGTCGACCATGAAGCGGCTGTTGCTGCCTCTGCTGCATGCGGTAGTGGTAGCGTCTTTCGTGGACGCCACAATCGACAAGACTGGCAAATGTTCCATCAAAGGATTTGTCCCCTTTACCTTCCAGTAAGTACAGAAGCCACGCCATTGCTCGGGCCTTTTAAGACTGCTAGCTAGCAAGTATCAAGCTGGACAATACTACATGTAGTATCATCCTTGTTCTCACTTTTCTGTACCATACTTGCTTTCTCGGACAGTGGCTTGAGCACTTCTGTGGTCGCGAGTGGCCCCAAACCTATTGGGTTTTCCCACGCGGCAGCAGCATGGATGGCCATGGAGCACTTCAATGCCCGTGACCCGTCACTCGTCCCTGAATTGGGGGACGACATTTATCAGGAATGTGGGGTTTCCTTTGAAATGGATGACACACCATTCTTTGATACTAGCAGCAACGGGTACCAAGCGAGTCAGTTGATGTATAATCACTACGAAGGAGGCGGGCGTAACTTGCCTTGTGCCATGGTGGGTAAGTTGATTGAAAAAATGACATCATTATAGTGCCTCTGCCATGATTCGATTCGATTGATCATTCATCATTCTGGTCAACCTGACACACAAGCCTTTGCACTCTGGAACTTGTACCGGTGTCAGGACCTTACCATGATCAAGTTGTTACAATCATGGCCACCATGTCTGCATCTACACAAATCCCCATTGTGCCCAGTGGAGGTAAGACACATGCGTTTCAAACTAGACTTGTCAATGTGCACACTCTCACAAGCTGCCAGGTCAAGATGCGAGGTTGTCAGAAGACCTCGTCAATCCATACACAATGGTGCTTGCTCCCCGTGTTCCTGACATCTGCTCCAGTCTGGCTGGATTTCTTATGCAGCACCAACGAAACGATTTCATTGCGATTCTGTTCGCTTTTACCGACACTGGAAACCAATTCCAAGAAGCGATTGGAATTACTTTAGATGCCTTCAATGTGACTCGTCGAAGAAACTATGGGTACATATCTCCAACCACACCCATTGACATCGAAGGTCAAACTACCGAAGATGCTGTTCGGGCTGTCAAAGACTCTGGTTATAGAACCATCATTGTCAACATGGAAAATCCTCTGTACGAGTTGCCTATGATCGCCGATGTGGCAGTTGCCGAAAATATGACGGAGAACTACCTCTGGATATTTCTCCCTCCTTTCCCTGCGCAGGCAGTGTCAGCCATTATGAAGTTACCGCCTACCCTGGGGAAACTCTTGGACCCTCCTATGCCGTCCTACCAGAATGTTCGAAAGCTGCTGACGGGCGCCGCTTTACTTCATCCTGTGGACGGATTTCAGGTGGACTTTGAGAATGACAAATTTGCCCAGGCTTGGAGATCAGTCAACGAGTCCTTTGTGGAAAGACTCAACAACCTACCTCGTGCCGTAACCCCCAAGAAAGTTTTTACCGTGGGCGAATACAGCAATGCAACTACCGAGTTTTTCCGGACGTACAAGCCCGAACCCGGGTCAAGCTACATGTATGACGCAACGATGCTAGTTGGAATGGGAGGTTGCATGGCGGAACAAAAGCATCGACTGGCTGGGGTGACGAATCAAACTATATCTGGAGAAGAACACCTTGTAGGAATGCGCTCGGTGGCGTTCTCGGGGGCTTCTGGTCGTGTTGAATTTGGCGAGATGCAAGGCTTCGTGGGGAAAACCACAGGTACACGCCTACCAAAGTTTATGACTATAGGGGTGTTCAATCTGTTCCCACCTTCCATGGAGGACCCATCAAACAATTCGTGCGTTTTCCTCTTTTCATTTCTGGATGGTGCAAACTCTGCAATGTATTGTGCTCACTTTGTTTCTCGACCTCTTGGCTTCAGGGATGAAACGTCCTTCGTCCTGACAGCAACCTACACTAATCTCTTGGATCGCGTGAGATACTCCACAATCAACAAAAGAGAGGATTACTTTAAACACGTCACTGCATCGGAATTTCACCCCTTTGTGTTCCGTGACGGAAGCACAACAGCACCTTCAGAACTTCGAGCGCTACCTGAGCAGAACTACCTGAGCCCCGGACTAAGAGTTGTGGGCATTTGTATGGGGGGGTTTGCATTGCTCTGCTGCTTCCTCTGTTTGATATGGGTGTTCGTTTTCCGCGAACGTCGCATTGTGACCGCAAGTCAGCCTCAATTCCTCTACTTGTTGATCTTTGGGGCAGCAATGTCGTCTTTTTCAATTTTTGGGATAACGACCGACGAAAGCGAGGGGTTCTCCGTAGAGCAACTGTCAAGGCACTGCATGGCAATTGTTTGGTTAACTTCACTGGGTCACATTTTTACATATGGGGCCCTCTTTACGAAGCTGTGGCGCGTCAATAAGGTAGACAATCTATGTGTCACTCGACAGTCCGCTTGTACCAGCATGCTCACCCTTGTTCCTTCAACAGGTCTTGCAGTTTTCGCGAAGGCAGATCAATGCAAGCCATGTGGCATGGCCCTCCGCCATGTTGATGCTTGCGGCGTTGACAATCCTGACTGTATTTCAAGTTACCGACCCTTTGAAATGGGAAAGAGTGGAAATAGATGCCAACACAGGAGAGTCGATTGGGCAGTGCACCTCCGAGACTATGCGATACTACATTTTTGCTCTTGCCGGTGTGATGATGATTCCGAGTGTTTTGACCTGTGTAATGGCGTGGAAAACAAAGGATGTCGATGACACTTATTCAGAGTCGTCTTGGATCTTCAACCTAGTGATTGTTCAGCTTGAGGTAAGTGGAAGCTGGAAGGCCGGGCTGAGATTAGTTCACCGATCCAAACGCACCTCATCCGTTTGTCTTTCTCTGCTAGATTATCATTGTTGCCATCCCTCTTGTGATAATTCTGAGGGATGTCTCAACAGATGGGAAGTATATTGGCCATCTCTTCCTCCTTTGGAGCATGCCCATGAGCACCTTGGGCTTCATCATGCTGCCGAAGGTTGTGGCTCAGTACATGGCAAGTCACGGAATGAGCCAAAGTACTCGAGTTCGCGGGAGCGGCGGGTAAGTCCAGTAATAATTGTGTTTCCCGCCCATCACGACGCCCTCAGGATGTCAGCGTGCCGCTCACTTCTCTCTTGTCCTCCTCCTCCTTCCAGCGGCGGTGTAAGAGTTTCGGGGATGAACCCAGAGGGCAGCCGCACCAGCAATAGCATGGCAAATCATCAGCGAATCAGCTCCAGTGCAGAGGGGCGGCGAAGGACCTCGAATCTTTCTGACAAAGGCGAATTTGCGGACGGATGAGAGGCCATTTCCAACAGGCAACTGAGCTTGGGGTGAATGAATGATTGAAGCATTCGATCCCATCATCGTTCAATCATCGTTCTCAAATCCACAAAGCACCAATTCGTGGACTTGTCAGTCGTGCGAAGAATCCTTCGGATTTGGCACTGGGACATTTAACGGCCTTTGAGTCTCACTTTCACTGGTCACATTTCCAACCAAAAACTGGTCTTCTGGAAAGTGTGAAGTGCCATCGGGAGTGGTGTCGAGCTGTCGACGACCAGCCTACTCAGTAAGAAACAAAGAAGTTGGCTGGACGAGAGCAATTGCGAGCAAGCCAATCGTTCATCTTTGGTGTCGGCACAAATCGTGAACCTGATATGCATACTACAGTAGTATCGTACGACTGTAATTGTACTAGTACAGTGTACCGATCTTTGGAAGATATCCTCTAGGTATCGGTAGGGCGGTCACCTCTCGTCACATCAATTTGCCGTAGTTCGTTCGTGATGGTACTGGTCTTCATTTGCTTGTGCAACGAGCGACACAAACCTCATCAATTCGCGTGGAAGGAAAGATCGCTCGAACTGGTTGAACTCACGGCAACTGTATCCTCACAAAAAAACTACTACAGCCTTCCAAAGCACAACCTCAAAATTTGTGCTGATCGATTCATCATTCACGCCCAGCTAGAGAAACGATTACCAAGTCACCATGACCATCAACTCCTACGGACGTTCAACTCTTGAAACGCCTGCTTTTCACGTCACGTTCGCACCTCTCCTTCCGGTGATGCGACCAATCCTGGGTGGGTTGTTCTGCGTTAGATCACGAATGTCTCAACCTCTACAGATCCGTGTCCTTCCAAAGTTCATACCCCTAGTTCCTGGACTTAGTTCCCTATGTTTTGTCACCTATGGACAAGTCCTGTTGGCTCTGCCACTGTTGCTGCTGGTTCTGGCAGGCTACACCAAAAGTTTCCTTGACCCCGACCTCGACCAATCTGGGTCAATTGCTGGGTTGGCGCTCATGGCAGCCTTCTTGACCGCCAACAAAAGCAATTCCGTGTTGTCCTTTGTGCTCGGAATTCCCTTTGAACGGCTCATCCCTTACCACAATCTAGCATCTTTGGCTGCCATTCTGTTGAGTGCATTTCACACATACGTGGCTTTTGTCTATGGCGACAGCAGTGGCGATGGGAAGGGATCACGCGAGAGGCGCCTATCTGAGGATAGTGCATACGCCTTGTTTGGGCCCAATCCCGACTTCGTCAAGTTCCTATTCGATGGAGGAACGAATTTCAGCGGTACCATGATCATTGTATTCATGCTTGTGTTGGTTGGAACCAGCTTCTTTTCCGTATTCCGTCGCTGCTTCTTTGAGTTCTGGCTCTTTACTCACGTTGCATCCGCAATTGGAGTCGTTGCCTTCTGCTTGGCTCACTCTGTGGGGACTGTCTTCATAGTCGGTCTCTGGTGGGCGGCTGATGTTTTCTTCCGATACGTTATCATGTCTCTTTGCGTCTACCCGAAGAAGGCAACTTTGGAGTTGGTTCTAGAGGATGTAGTGGAGGTGCGCTTCAAAGCTTCTGGCTTCAAGTACAATGCTGGCCAGTTCGTGCAGGTTTGCTTTCCAAGCATTGCAACGTTCCAATTTCATCCTGTGACAATTTCAAGTGCCCCCCACGAACCCTATGTGACTTTGCATATTCGCGCCCTGGGTGGTTGGTCCAAAAAGTTGGCCAGCCTTGCTGCAACGTGCCATGAGACAACAATGATGCTGGAAGGACCGTATGGAAGCTTAGCTATGGATCTGAATAACGACAAGCGATATCAAATGGTCTTGTGTGTCGGAGGAGGCATTGGAGTGACCCCGTGCCAGAGCCTTGCACGTCACATTTTGCACGGGTACCACAAAGGGAGAACTCTTCAAAAACTACAGTTTGTCTGGGCAGTTCAAAGCTTGGAAATGGCTTTGGCTATCCCTCCACCTCCTGTCATTGATTGTGCAACGGTTGTTGGTGATTCAGAGGTTTTTACCAATGCGGAGGAAAATTCTGAAGTTCTTTCTACGCATGTTTACGTAACAAAGCCTGAGGCATTCCATGATGAGACCTTGGCCGGCTGTCACACTCCATTTACTCTGTTCGAGGGAAGGCCCGATTTTGACTCAATCTTTCGAGGACTCCGTCGCGAGGCTAAGGAGAACGGCCTCACCAACGTCGCAGTCATCGTCTGCGGCCCCAAAAAGATGACGCATAAGCTGCGTGCATGCTGTCGAGAGTACAGGTAGGCTGTGTACAGTCTCGTCTGCTGTTGTCTTGACGCACTCATTCTCACACTGTTCTGCTTGCAACTTCCAGTGACTTGGAGGTGACGTGCAACGGGGTGAAGTTTGACCTGCACGAAGAACTCTTTGATTTCTAAATGAAATGACGCATCTGTCCAACTGGAGCATGTTGATGCGACCGTAGTCGTGGGCTTCATGTCCTTTGGAGTGTACTCTTCGTCAGGGTTTGCTTCGGCGTGTTACTAATGATTGTAGGAACGATACGAAAGGGTTCTAGAACGCCATTTATGATGTCATTGTGAATGACTGGCTAGCTACTAGTAGGTTGTTGCGGTGCGCAATGGGCTTCTACAACGTCATTGATAGTACAGATGACAGCCCACAGATAACTGGAACCTGGAGCCTAACAAGGTGTCAGAGTGAATTTCTTCATAGCGAACGGAAATTTCACAGGGTTTCGCTCGATCTTGATAGTTTCGTCGGCTCCGCCCAAGACGATCTCAAGGGGCTTGGTGTCTGCCCACTCCCCCCATGTGTAGGTCAAGGGGATAACATATTCACGCTTGTTTCCACCATTTCCGTCCGTGATGACGATATTCAGCGGATGATCGTCCGTGTTCTCGTGCAAAAAGACGAACTGAACAACCATCTTGTAGGCTTTTTTCTCAGGGACCTTGTCCTTGGAAAGCTTATACGTCACGGACCAATTCGGACGGCTCATGAAAGCTTGCATACCCGGGCCAGAGAAGCTCTTCCAAAATGAGACGGTGCCCTCTTTTGCTGAGCGGCAGGCTGCCGGGACAATGACGCTGCCACCAGGTCCTGCAGTAATGGCCTCGGGTTTGTCTTTCCTCTGCTTGACTTCAGTAATCAAAGGCAAGATTTCGCACTGCTCGCCAAGCTTTCTCGGTTTGGATTGGACTTGGGAGAGACGTTGTCGTTGCACAATCGCCAGGCCTGGCCAGAGCTTTTCTGTGATGTAGCTGACATTTTGTCCCTCTCCAACGATAGCCGCCAACCAATCTATGAGAGCCACCTTTTGAAAGTAGGCATCATCTCCTATGGCTGCACGAATCTTGGTTTCGCATTCAAAGTCGAGGCCGTCTCGATCTTCCCACCATGATACTCTGAATCCTCCACCTAGCGCCGTCATCCAACCACCAGGCGTCCAGCGAGTCACGGCCGCGTGCCCAGGCTGGCGAACACCCCACTGAATAAAGAGCCGCGTTCATATCAAGTCGAATCGGATCATTGAACCCATTTCATCATCAAGCACGGTGTGAGAGTTGAGAATGTAACCAGTGACGTAGTGAATACGAGCAAAATAGTGACCACAAGACCATTGCCCATAATATACACGGGGCCAACTTACGGTAGGACAACCGAACGCCTTGCACGCAAATCTACCCAACCACGCTCGTGGCCCACACATACCACCTCCACTAACAATCTGTTTATAGTCCTACCATACGGTACGAGAAAAGCGAAGGAGAGAAAGAACAATCGTGAGATTGATAAAGAGCGCGGTTGGAACGGAAAGATTGACAACTGCGCTACATACTCTTGGCGACCGTGTCCAAACAGGCTCATTGTAGGTGCAGTCAGTGCGCACAAGCCAGGCATAGCGCCAATGCATGTCATCCATCAGCGCAATGTTTGGATTGTAGTTGCGTATCGTTCTCCTGGAAAGGGCAGACGAAAATGTTGGTGGACACTGTTCGATTCGATTGGTACAGCTTTGGCAAATGTGGACTGTTTCTTCACGTCACTTACCTACACCATGCGAGCTGCTCATCGGGAGCGTCGCTGTTGACGGCCATTCGCAACTCCCAAATGCTAAAGGATTCAAACATTGGCTCGAGCTCGCGATCCAAGTAGGCTGGCCAGCAAAGTAGCAAGAGCATTGGCTTTTGAGTCAGACGTCATCATGCACACAACGACGCCTGGCACTCATGGAACTGTACCTTTTTCGTAATGGAGATATCGTTGAACGGGATCGATAAACACGTTCTTTCGATCAAAGGCTTGAATTGGTGTGGCAAACTCCATCGCCACAGCCAAGCTGAGCGTGCATGAATGAATGTTAGTAGGAGACCCACAAGCAGAGCAAGAAGCCACCAACCTTTCATTCAATAAAACCATGTTCGACGTACCTGAGCTTGGGAAAGACCGACTTGGTCTTGTTTCGTTTGGCTTCAATTTCCGCATAGGTTTCCAAAAATCTGCCATAGTTGCCTCCTCGAGGCCCTCCATGGACGAGAACACGATGCATCAGTTCGGTATTGTTCATGAAATCTTGCAACCGTTTGCGTTGCGTGTCGCCCTTGGCCGCGTAGCCTGCCAACTTGGGAGGTGTCCCATGCGTGAGTATAATGCACTGCAAGAGTTCCTTGACAGCCTTGTTGTTGTTCAAGTTGTCTTTGGAAAAGTCGACAGAAGCCAGTTTTGGGTCAATGGCTCCCTCAAAGAGTGGCAAGGCAGCCTTCAAGCATTCCTTGTGTGTGCCAAAGAGTTCGTCTTGGCACTTCTTTTTGGCTTCTTCCTCGTTGGTCTGTTCGACCTTTTTGTGTGCTTCCAAGGATCGTTTGGCATGCTGTCGAAAGGACTTTTCTCCGGTAGCATCCAGTGGGGGCACCATACTCTTTTTGACGTTGGACTGTAGGTCTTCCATCCATTTGTTGATCCAGGATGTGGAGTATTCTCCCGACTCATCCGCCGAAAGTGGGATCAAGTTAAAGTCTCGAATCAAGATTCCCTTGCCTTGTGGTTTGGCATGAGAAAAGTGGAGAAACGTATCGGGAGGTCCTCCCAGAGGAACACCCACTTTGATGGGTGGATCCAAAGTCTTCCACTCATTTTTGGTGTTGGGCAACGGAATCTCAATGGTACACGACGAAGGAGCGTCCTTGTTGCCTCGTCTCACTTCCATGCGGAGCGGCGTGTTGTCGTGATCGGTCTGAAAGCGCATCTGCAACTTGTAGTCGGCACTACCGGTCAAGAAGGCATGCTTGAGCGTAAACTCAAACCACGTGTTCTCCTTGCCCGCCACCATGAGCATGTGCTTGCCTTTGCCATCATCGAGGTCGTTGTCTCTGTAGAAGAAGGATCCCTTGGAATGACCTGGTCCACTCTTATTCACCGAAGGAATATGAACTATGCCCGTCTTGGGGCTGACCGACATTTTCTCTTGCATTCCCGACATGGTTGATGATGCTATGCTAAGAAAGAACAAAAAGAACCAAAGAACAAATTGAAATGGCTTTTGTGGATACCGTAGATAGCTGCTGCCGGTACCACAGATGTTACTTGGCGAGATCCTCTTCGTATTCCTTGGCTCCTTTGCACTGATTCCTCTGTGCTCTACCTATACCGGCATTGTGCCTTCAAAGATACCAACAGGAAAGGACCACAATCGAGATCTTGATATCTTGTAGCTTGATGTCATCTGTCTTGCCTTGGGGTCGCCCGGAAGCTTACTGGATCTTTTGTGGATTGCTGTCCTGGATACTCATGACTGATTTTACCAAGCCCTTTTCCCGTACTTTTGTGCGAAGTGCGAAGATGACGAAGCGACGAGGAAAGGAAGAACAACAACAAGGAACTGTTGGGATGGAACAAGGAAGGGAGTGCCCGTACCGGTACATTGATTGATTGATTGTATTGACGATGCCTCCTACAACCCGCAAGCGCAAGCGCAAGGTCGGCGACGGCAACGAGGGAAGTAGCAGCGGCAGCAAGCCCAGGAAGAAGAAGGAGACGACCAGGACGGTCCAAAAGGCTCGAGTTTTCTTTCGAGATGCCTTTATTGCCCAAAATCCTGGCAAGGAAGACGACTTTGACAATGCCTGGAAAAACTGGATGGACAGAAAGGGAGATCAACCTGCAGATGGATTCCCAGGAGTTCCGGGATATGCAAGTCGACAACCTGCTTCTACTAATAAACGACGCAAAACCACCACGACTTCCACTGCTACTAAACGACGCAAAGCCAACACGCCGTGCACTGCAGCTACTACCGTTAGTGTCATATTATGCGTGTGCGAACAATGCACTGCCAGTCGCAACGCCAAAAAGCCAGCCACTGACAAGAAGGGAAGCAAAACACCCTCTGCTGGGATGATCAAAGAACCCAAGAAGATGCCACCAAAAGAACCCAAGAAGACACAAACGAAACCGAGACGAGGAAAGGATGGAAAGGAACCAAAAAATACGAAAACAAAGGAAACCAAAAAGCCTGTGGCCAAAAACAAGAACAACAAAGACGAAGCACCCACAAACCCCCCCAAATACGATCCTATCAAATGCTACAGGCCGGGACGCAACGCCAACCCCACGGCCAAATATGCACGACAAAAATTGTTCACTTGGGACGATCGCATCGAACAATTAACGGCATGGAAAAACGAACATGGACACCTCAAAATACCCACCAATCTTGGTAGACCGGATCGCAGTTTGGGCTTGTGGTTGGCTGCACAGCGATCTCTATATAGTAGGGACAACATTCGCCAGGATCGATTGGACGAGCTACGTCGACTGGGTGCGAATGGTTTTGATGGTCCCAATGAGGTGATACCAGGGGAAGCTGGTTGATTCATGTATTGCTGGATCGAGAGTCTATTCCGGCAGTACCATAGTGGAGTGTGGAAGCAGCTATGGTTTTAAGACGCTCGGTCCACTAGCTTTGTACCGGTACTGGAGAAGAGGCAATTGTTGTGGGGGAGCAGCAATGCCTCGCTCGGAACCCAGAGAATCTTGTGGTGACGAAGAGGGCGCTTTTACTATACATGTATGTACACGAACTGTAAGTTGGGGACTAGATACACTTGCATTTCTCTACTAAAATGTAACTTCGTAGAACGCTTCCCTACCGGTACTCTAAAACGCCCTTCTCTTGACTTCAAAGTGACTGAGCGATAGGCTTCCTCAAGCATATCTGGGCTGAGGACTAGCTACCGTAGGATGTACTGGCTAGCTACTTGCTCGGTTTACTAGTGCTATGGTGGCTACCGTAGCTAGGTAGGCCATGATCCTTAATTAAGAGGCATTACTGGAAGCATTGGCCAAGGAGCAAGCGCTGCTCCATTGTTCATTCCGTCCATCCACAAAGGGTATCATTCATTCAATCATTCCTCATATCCAACCTTTCCCACACCGGCCAACAACTCCTTGGCCACATCCAATCCAACATCATGCACAAATCCCCGTATCCATGCTCTTGCTCCTTGATCAGGATAAATGGAACGTTTGTTGAGCATTTTGTACCGACCCTTTCCTCGCGTAAAGTAGGCCTGTGTGCTATTCTCTTTCTTTTTGGTGTCAGGTGACGGTGGTGCATCTGTGCTGTTGGACACCTTGGCTGTGCGAGGATCACTGCGGAAAAAGTACTGCTCCTCCGTACCAAGATAATGATGGACCCTTACCAATGATTTCTTGACATGGTTGACGGTCCGCATCTTGTCTGGATCCGGGCAGTAACTTGACACATGATGGACACTGGTATAAGTTTTGATTTGTGGCAGCATGCGAATGTTGATTAGGTTCTTGCCATTGTGCATGCGTCGTGGATTGCGATAGAGGAATCGTTGCGTCAAATAGTCCATTCCATCCATGCCTGCAGGCATGTGTCTCTGTACCATAGTAGTTTCACTTTCCTTGATTCCAAACATGTACCGAGGCATGTAGCTGCAGGTATGATTCTCACCTGTGAGCATGTGATGTTGCTTGATGAATGTAAGGACATTGCCTGGTTTTGTGATTGGGATGTTTTTGGTAATGTTGTAGTAGAGACCAGAAGCGTAATTGTTGACAATGTACTCATCTGTGTCAATCAGCATGAGCCATTCTCGATCACGTTGTTTGAATGTTCTCATGCACTACCAGAGGAGAAAGTGCGCTGTTGAGCGGACTCTGGTTGCTTCCCATCAATCCACACCCTATCAACTATTCCAACTCACCTTGAAGTAAAAGTTATTCTGCCTTACTCTGTGCATCATGAGTTCTGTGTTATTGTTGAAGATTCCGGCATTGGCCTTTATTTGCTTGGGCATGAACATTTCATCATTCCAGACACTGATGGACATCATTTTTCGATCCTTCCATCGTTTCAAAATGGGAATTGGTGAAGTTTTGGAGTCTGGATCCACAGCCACAATCAAGTATCGCAGGGGCTATATAGGAGAGAGAGAGGAAATATTGAGCGAGCAATCGGCACAAATTCTTATCTGACATGGACTCGGGAGGACGTACCATTGTGTGATAGTGGTAGGCCAACCACTCAATCACTAAAAAAGGAGAGCATTCCCATACGGTAGAACTACAGTGTCAGTGACCAAGCTTCAGTATAGCCAAAAGACCACCCTAAGCATGTCATCAAGCACAGTACTTACACCAATGATTGTCGTCTTTGATAAGGATACAAGCCGCAAAGGCTTCTCCTTTTTCTAGTTTGGGTGGAGGACCCGGATTGCTAAAATCAGGATCATCGTCCTCTACCTCCATTTCTCCCTTGATGAGTTTCAAGGTTCCCAACGTCCCATTGCTGGAAGATTTTTTCTTGTCAGTTTCCGTATTGCCTTCGGCATCGACATCTTCCTCGACCTGGTCGGTATTATCGGCTTCCGGATCTTCTTCGTCTGTGGCTTCCTCCTGTTGTTCGCTTTCTTGCGTGTCATTGGGTTTCGCCTCGTCATTGTTGCTGTTGTGAATATTCCAATTTGCCTCTTCCCGTGCAGCAAATTCGAGGTCTTTTTGTTGCTTCAAGGCCAAGACATCTTGCTGTAAATGTTTCTTGTTGCTGTTGTGTTTGCTCTGGAGAATGAACGCGTTTTTGTGATGTTGTTGCGCCACTTGGTGTGGTGGTGGTCCCTCTTCGTATTCAAATTCCACTCGAATGCTAGGCATGTTGATGGATTGAAACAGTGCCATGGTGGCAGCGCCAATGCCAAAGCCCAACAAGACCCATCGGAGAATCTTCCAGATAGTTTGCGATTGTTGGTGCTGTGGGCTGTGGCTGGGGGGAGTCGATACAAAAAAGTACTTGTTTTTGCTAGGAGTCCCCATGGGACTACTACTGCTAATGCTCATCTGCGGGGAAGAAGAGGACGATGAGGATGACATGGGAGTATGGTATCGTATCGACCTGGTACCTGGTAGTGTCTTTTGGTGGACTGTTGGCTGGGTCATGTAGAAAAATGAACAGCAGAAATTGAAATTGTGAGGTCTCTTTGCGATGCCTCCAACGACAGTTGAAATTTGAAATTCAAGTCCGATGAATCGTTACTGCATTATTATTGTTATTCGCTGTCCCACAACCGCCCGAGATCGCATGGTCCCCCAAGGCAGATTGTTTGGAGAAGCTGTGAACGTTCTGGTATCGTACCGGTACCGGTACGCTGTACGAGCTATGAGCGGCCAGGTTCAAGATTTTGTAGATAATGCTACATGTATCTATCTATGTTGAATGGAAATCCAGGAGCGCAGGAGGGTGTCGTTGCCACGAAAAGGTCTGCTCAGTTCGAAGTGGCACGACAAGACCTCACAGAACTTGAACCTGACTGGCTGACTACCTGCAACATCCGCCCCTTTCTATTTCGAGCAAAAGAAAAACCAAGTTTCCTACCTGGTGCCGCAAAAAGCTGTTTTCTTTTGAACATTCTTGGATACAATACTACTTACTTGACAAAAAACACTGTATCGTTGAGGAGAAACGAGGTGCGTGCAGCCATAGCTAATCTTTGCAGTGACATTGTGCACAGGATTGGTTCTGTTTCCCGGGCGCACCGGTAATGGGTTCAATCCGAAAGTGGGCACACATGGTTTCATAACCCGGACAAGCTTCGAGCTCTGCTTTCTTTGACTCCTCCGCCTTCGACGCACGACTTCCCTCGTTTCTTCCTTATTGATTCCGCCTTTGATTCTACAAGTCCACCTCGCTGAGGTGTGAAAATCCTTCCTCTCGCCTTTCTTCTTTTCCTCCTACGGAACTTTAGAAAATGCTGCTGCACCACCACAGCTATGTAGTTGAAAGGTAAACTCAAACTATTACAACACTCAGAACTACAAAACAACCACTCAAACACACTACCACGCAAGTAGCAACTGACTAGAACTTTCTTATCGTGTCCACCTTGTATGTTGGATTGCCCGTCTTACTTCCAAAGGAAGATTTTACCGGACTAGCAACTTCCATAATGTCCTTATCCAGCGTATTCAACTTCTTTTCCCGTTCAAACAGCACCTTGGCCAACTTGCGCATCTTGACCTTTTCACGTTCCACAGCGGCTTCAGATCGTTTGCGTTCGTCTTCCAACAACTTTTCTCCACGTTGTCGTTCGGCCTCAGTGGCTTGGGCAATTTTGGCATCCATTTCCCTAAGTGCAACTTGTCGGGCATGTTCCGCAGCTTCTTCGACCCTTTTGTTCATGAGATTGGTCAAGTCGGCAATTTGCTTTTGATACTTGGTTTCAATATCCAATTTCAAGGATTGCAACTCCCGTTCGTACTTGGCAACCACATTCTGATTGGCCAACTCCTTTTCTTGTAATTTGGCTTCTAATTCTTCCATTTTCATGTGCTGATTTTGTATTATTGCTTGGAATTCGTTTCGCATCTTTTCCAATTGTAGGATTTCTTTGGAGAGACTGGCCACTCGCTTTTTCAAATCTTGGTTTTCTGTCAAGGTGGCGAGTTTGCTGGCTTGGCCTTCGGCCGAAGCACCCTTGAGACCCGATCGATGCAAAATTGCCTGGGATGTCTTGAGTTGACGACGCAACAAGGCCAGCTCTTCTTGAGATTGTCGCAATTGCCGATCCAACATGTTCACTTGTTCTTCCAAGAGTTCGCGATATTTACGTGCTGCCGACTTTTTGCCAAAGTACCAGGCGCCTCCTCGAGGGATTTGTGCCAGAACAAATGCAGTGGATTGTTGTGGTGATCTGGTGACAAAGGCATTGACGTTCTTGAAAGAAGCAATCGGAGAGGCTGCTGCTGGCGAAGGACTGTAGGATAGCACCAGGAGTCCTCCAAGTAGGATGTTGGAACTGGAAGGTATCTTCATGATTTTATCACCCAAATCTGGCTGAGTCAACAAGCTAGAGAGATAGCTGGGTAGTGTGGCGTCAGAAGTGAACCAGGGTGGTCGACACTTGAACAGCACCTAAAAGAGGATGCTCTGGCTGGAGCAGGTGGTTGGGAAGTTGAATGGTAACGTATGGAGGCAAGAAGATAGCAATGTGGGTACTACCGGTATGGAGAGACGAAGATAAAAGATCCCGTTCTCCCTCCAGGAAGATCTCGAGAAGACAACATATGGCAACAGCGACGGTCCCTTTGACTCTACCGGTAGACTACCCCCCCCCCCAAATTTTACAGTTTAGTGTCTAAACTAGCTAATACTAGCTAGCTGGTATCCAAGCTATTTTGTTCTTTAAAATTAATACGCATCAAATCAAAATTTTAGAAACATTTTCATCCAAATCATGTTCGGGGTACAGGTAATACCGTATCAGCCAGCAAGAGACAACGGATTTCCTTGGGATGCATGCACATGCGGCGCTTCAGTTTGAGTTGGCACTGCGTTGGCTGGAACACCTACTAGAGATACGGTAGGGGACATTGGCAAATCCTCAAGTAGGCCCTGGAAATGGTTACTCCTGGGGATATCCACTGCTGCAAAGTAGGGGCGTAGGTGCAGTTTGGAGCGGGCCCATTGAAAGGATGCCAGTACCAGTAACCCAGGATGGGCCCTGAAGTCCACAGGAATGCTTCTATTGGTGAGAACTTGGAAACTGCACCCCTGAGAGGCTCTCAGGCGGGCTCCAGTCCAGGCAAAAAGGATCTCTAGTAAGGGAACAAACGAGGAAACCTGTAATACTCATGCAGATGATGATGCCCGTGATGAAGATACATACTATCTGCCTGCCTTGAACGGCCACTTGGAGCTTGAGAAGTGCGACATGGAAACGGTACCGGTACGTACTGTCGGGTAAGCTCGTTCCCTGGAGCGAAGTTGACTCACTCGGTGGATTACAACAAGTTCGGGCGTTGAGAGAAGAAGGCAAAGGACCATTGACGCAAGTCTCTAGCTAAATCAAGGCCTCTGAAAATCAAAGCTTCTGAAAGTTCCGTTGCCTCGACTAATTATCATAACTGTATTCTTTTAAAATTAATGTGGTGGGCTACGAAACCTGTTTGGTATGCCACGATGCTCAGGCTGGGGTGAGCTTGAAATCTCGTACAGTGACAGGCCAGCAAGGCTTTTGGCGCATAAACTTTAGTCTCTCGTCGCCTCCACCTCCTAGTTCGATCTCTACTGGTTCTGTTTCTTCCCACAATCCTTTCGTGTAGGGGAAGGGGATAGAATGCTCGCTCATGGGTTTCTCAGAGTGATGCGCCGATGTCACGATGCATTGAAACGGGTTGGGATCTTCATCGTGTGTGCTGGCAACCCGAACCGTCAACTTGAACCTCTTGCGATCGCTTGGTAACTTATCACCAGGGATTTTGTATTCGATCCACCACATTTCTCCAACATTGAACTGCTTGCCGCCCTCCAAACACTTGGCAAAGGTAACAGCCTTTTGTCCTTCATGGGCCGACGCGGGTACGATAATGGTTCCGTCGTCTTGGAAGACCATTTCTTCGTTTTTTGGGTCTTCTCGTTGCTGGAGGTCCGATATCTTAGTTCTGACTTCGCATTGGAAATTGTCGGGTACAGGGAATGGCTTGCCGGTATCACCCCATCGCTTTCGTTGAATCTGCGCCAGATTGGTCCATGGCGTATCCGGTTTGTGCTTCCAGAGACCTTCTGACTTGCCGCCATTCTCAAACAAAAACATCCACATGAGTATATCGACCTTGCGACAGTAGAACTCATCTCCCATTTTCTTGCGCATGAACGCCTCATACGTGAAATCTAAATAGTCTCGATCATGCCAGTATCCAAGATTGCTTCCCAGGCAACACAACCAGCCTGTGGGAGTCCATTTTGCCAATGCCGCGTGACTAGGTTGCACTAAACCCCACTGTGATGGCGCAGCAACAGCAAAGCAGAGCGGAAAAGGAGGAGGGCCAGGAGAGTATGTTGAGAGTCCTCTGTCGCCACAACGACACCAAGAAGCGCCTGGTAGAAGAACTTACCGTCGGATTGCCAAATGCCTTGTTACAGAAGCGACCAAACCACGCCCTGGGCCCGCATTTGCCTGTGCAATCAAAGTAAGAACCAGAGTGAGGAGCTGAGAATTTTTCATTCAAAGTCGGACGGTGCTGAGTTCTACTCCCTTTTTAGCGATTCTTTGTACAGTACGTACCTCCTCGAGCAAGCGCTTGGACCATCGTTCTGGGCTGAGCGGTCCAATCGGGGCGTTTATAACGAACGTCCGTCTTGACAATGCTACTGTAGCGCCATCGCTATTAATAGCAGTTGCAAGAAAGGCGCGTGAGGAATGGAAGGCGCATTCAGGTTTAATTGCGTAAGGCAAAGAATTCAATCATATATGACGTACCTGGTCTCCCATGTACAAGATATCTGGTCTGTACGTGAACATGAATTCTCTACACCATCTGAGCTCTTCGTTCGAGGCATCGCTGTCGACAACCATTCGGAGTTCCCAGACGGAGAAATGTTCAAAGGCAGGATCCAGCATCCCGTCTAGGTAAGCCTTTTCATAGTCAAAGTATCGTTCGACGGCATCGACGGCTGTGGTGGTATCGAAAATTGCCAAGGGCTCGCAAAGTTCCAAGGCAACGGCCATTTGAAGCTTTGGTAGAATGGACTTGTCTGTGTTCATCTTGGCACCGATCTCGTTGTATATTTCGCAAGCCTTTCCGTAGTTTCCTCCCTTGGCTCCGCCCGAGAGCATCATCTGCTTCAGTATTGGAACATCTTCTCCCTTCATGAGCTTGATGAGATTGGCGATTTGTTCGTCCGTTGCTTCGTGACAATAGGATCCCAAACGAGTTGGAGTTCCCTGAATAAATACCAACCATTGCAGCACTTCCATGTTGTCGAGATCGAGTCCTTCCAAGACGTCGTCCAGTTTTCCATCCAAAATGTCCGTGGCAACATCCGAAAATGCCTGTCGTGCCTCTTGGACGGCTTCATGAATGGCCAATGGTTCTGGTTCTTTGGGAACGCCGCGTTCCAGTTCCAAGGCAGTGGGCAACAGCGAAAGAGCGTTGTAGGTGTCTTTCGTTGCTTCTTGCAAATTCTTGCCAGCTTCTAGTAGAGCTTGGCGCTGAGAATCTTCGAGCGAGGGCATCAATGCCTCTACCTTTTCTTTGATTTCATCAAACCAAGCCGAGAACCAGGGACCAGAGTATTCTCCAGTCTCGTCACTGCCAGGTGGGGCCATTGTAAAGTCCTTAATATTGAACATGGATCCCTTGATGACCGGGAGTTTCATTCGGAGCGAATAGGAGTTGAATCCACCAACATCATGATCCAACACAAACTTGAGAGAGGACCAATTTCCGTCTGTACTGGGAATATTGAGGGGAAAGTCGAGCACCGAACTCTTGGCATGAGGAATGAACGACATGGCCGCATCCCCTTGATCTTCGTCCGTCTGATACCGCATGGTGATTTCGTAGCGCTTTGCCTGTTTAAAGTCACGCTGTTTGAACCGCCATTCCACCCACACATCTTCGAATCCAGGCGTAAACGTCAACTGACGACCACCCAAGTCCGAATCAATATTCCAACGGAAAGATCCCTTGGCGTCTCCCGGAGCCCACGTCATGACGGCCGGGAAGATCACCGTGCCCGAAGGCAAGAAGCGAAGCGTATCGCTCACGTGAGGCATTGCTTGTTTTCGTTCACCTTTCTGGTAGAGTTGCTATTATTTGTCTCTGGTTCTCAGCTAGCTAGTAGCAAGGCGTGGACTGTGTTGTTGTGTTCTGTATCTTATCTGCGTGGTAGAAGGTCTACGACTGTAACGGGTTGGAGGAAGGGTAAAGCGGCGGGCTTTGAAAGGAAGACCGGCATCCGGATTGTGGGTTCGCCAAACGAAAACCTGTCTGACAAGCGGATCTTTCGATCTTTCATTCGTGGCTACTGGCACCCGTTCCGAGTGCAACAGCCTGGGGAAGCGCGAGATGTTCTTTTTGGAAGGTTGAGCTAGCTAGACCTTTGCCTTTAGAAGTATGCTAGCATGGCACTGTCTGAGTGTTTGTGTTCCCTTATCCTGACAAGCCTCTCATGCGAGCATTGATGGAAGCCTGGGAGTGGTCGTCCACGTGTTCGAGAACGATCCAATCATCATCTAACTCGACGATCACAGCCACCTACTAAGTGTCCAGAGCAATGCTAAAGACGATAGGAATCAAATCATGTTCTATAGGATTTGGTTTAGGAGATTTATGTCTCCTTCTTTATTCCGTTTTCTTTGGTGGTCGGCAAGGATCCATCCGAGTCCCCATGAAGTCGAGAAAGCACGGCCTCCATAGCCTGGTCATATGCACCATAGATACCTAACTGTGTCAAGTTTCTCAATGCCTGCTCGTTCAATCCGCCCTAACCAAGCAAACAAATCAGCAAGGCATGGATGTTGTGAGATGAGATGAGTGCAAAGGAAGTTCATCAAAGGCTTCTTGTACGTGGCAAAGGCAACGTACCGGGGTTTGTTCTGCCACTAGTTCCTCAAAGTGATTGGGATCCTTTTGACATCCCCGTTCGGCATCTTGCATCATGGACCAATACTGTCGTCCTACAAAATAAGTGGCGTCCTTGGCTGGGACACCCTTTTTCACGAGCCATTCTTGGTTCTGTCGAAGAATGCCGTACAAGGGCCCCATCAAACAGGTGGGTGTAATCATAACATCCATGATTTCCTCAGTCTCACACTCGACAAACCCGCCCAATAAATCCAGCATGCAATGAATGGTGGAAATTGTGGGATTGGCAGCCTTTTCTGTGGCTCCAACTTTGGGGACAATCAAGGCGCAGCCTTCTTGCTTGGCAGCCGATGGCAAGCCTATTTTGTGAATTGAATTGGTCAGGGGGTACCGTATCAGAGGCGGATCGAGAATGGATGAGAGGAATGCTTGGCTCACACTGTACATGCAGATTGGATTGAATGGTAATAAATTCTTACAGATCATTTTGAAAACTCTTTCAGGGTTCAACTTGGTTGCTTCAGTTAGCATATCCAATTTGCTTGTGGCCTACAAGTGAACAGACAGAGCAAGTTGAAAGAAAAAGAAAAATGAGTGCCATCACCAAAAACTTCTCAGTTTGCGTTTCATTCCTCTTTCATACGGTACACATAAGACATACCACCATGGAAACCAGAGTATGGCGTTGATTATCAAACTGGAGTGGCTCCAGGACCGTAGCAGTCTGGTTATTGAGGACGCACAGAAAAACCAAATCACAAGTGTCCAACACCTTTTGATTGTCGTCATACACAGTCACAAGATCTGGATAAGCTTCCTTGAGTGCAGCTGATTTCTTTTCAGATCGTCTCGACAGGGATATCCTGGATATGACAGGAATGCTTGGATCTGCCTTGGCTTGGGTCTTGCACATTCCCGTAATCAGTGCCGAGGCAATGGTGCCACAGCCGAGTACACCAATTGAAACTGGTTCATAAGAGTTGCCGTCTGTTTCTGCCATTGTCTTTTTCTTCTTTGCTTTGTTTTGAAGACGGAAAAGATAGATGGATGTTGTCAGCGGCAGGAAAGATTGTGGACAGCAACAACAGCAAACCAACGAAACCTGCGATGCGAGAGTCTTTGGGAAGTGCAAGCCAAAATGCTTCCGAGAAGAAAGGGCAAGAACAACCACGTAAGTCACGCGCAAACGAAGTCACGAGCATAGCATTACTTTCGACATTTTCCATTACAGAAATCCTTCGTTTAATTTTGTCACCCTTCAGACTGTGCAACACAGCACACACCACCAAAGCTCGAGTTGCACGGTAGTTTCGCATAACAGAACAATAAAAGGATTCCGGTACAGAAAGTACTAGCGGGACCGTCTGTGCCGACATCAGCCCATCGTACACTTGGCCTACCGCTGTAGAATCGCTGTAGAGCCACTCTAGCCAATCAAACGTTCCATAGTCGACTGACGTCACAGCCGCCTACGTCAGTCGTGCATTTTGCATCTATTTATTTATTATTTCGTCTCCTGGAGCGATTTGCTTAGGTGGTACCACGGCTACCGATGGGGGCAGTTAAGAGGTTATGAATAGTATAGCCGGAACGCTCGCATCATAACTATAGAGGCCTGTTGAAAAGAAGATTAAGCGTAACACGAACTACGTATATGTTATTGACGGAATACAGCTCAACGACAATAGCTCAAACTGCACATGAAAGTCGCCTTGCGTTCTTGCACATTTCTTTAAAAGTTGGCTCCTTATTTTGGTCGGGGTCGCCTGATGCTTTGATTGGACGCTTGCGACTCTCTTTTCACTGGTCTGACACTCTCGTTCACGAAGGTAGCACCTGCGATTCTCAGAAAGAGTATGAGATAGCATTATTATACAGTAATTTTTATACCTATATCCCTTACGCTTCTTATACAAGAACCCTACTTATCCCGCTGGAACATTTCACTCGTATGATCTTCTCTGGTACAATAGAAAGCCAGTGTCTAAATCTTGCCGCATTGTTCTCATTCGCAGTGCTGCGCATGCAAATTCTTTGGACACTCCCACAATCCAGCAGGGTTCTCATTACGACACAAACCCTCATGCCGTTCGCCTTGATACCACCAGTTCAGCCCCGTTGCAGTATCCATGAACCTGTACCTAACCTGCAGTAAATCCCTGTTTTGTGTCGTCTGTCCAGGCGCATTGTGGTAACGGATTGCTTACTTTGCATCTTGCTGGTTTGGTGTAATTCTCCGTCATAAAGGGTACTGAAGTGTGGTCTTGTCGTTACATAAAGTTAGTGGCATTGTTCCTATTTTCCACAAGGATAGATTTGATTTGACCTGAGAAAAAAGCACGAATCTTGAAGCCGTTGTCGAGTTGAACAACCATGGGGGTGCAACCATGCTTCACATTCACCTTTCTCATAAAAAGCCGAGATCCATTTGCTTCTCCATTCGGAACAATCGTGTTCTCTGTAAACAATACAGGACACCACTTATATAACTACAAAGCAGGATCAACACGATTTCGTGAGTCCGAACCGAGTTTTAACGAGTCTTCTCCTCTCTTT